GTGTCTCATACTGCGCCTCATACTGCGCCTCATACTGCGCCTCATACTGCGCCTCATACTGTGTCTCATACTGCGCCTCATACTGCGCCTCATACTGCGCCTCATACTGCGCCTCATACTGCGCCTCATACTGCGCCTCACCCGGTGCCCGCCCCCCCCCCCTTACTATGCCAGTAGCTTTACCTTATGATCGCCTGTGAGGGTGTTTTAAGACTGTCCCGCCATCTATTAAAAGATTGATGAAGATTAAGCCACCCAAAAGGTGGCACGGGCATGAATAGCCCGTAAGTGGTGGCCCTTTTGAGCCATTACCAGTATCAATAGATGATACTGGAGATCTGTGGAGGTGCGACTGCACCCTGCGTGACGGGAGATGTCTCCCGTCGCCCTCTATTTAGTTCCGTGACCAACAGTTTGGTTAGCTGATGATTGATTGCTAGCATGCCATAATTCCACATAGGCACTGCAGCTTGCTAACCCGCTGCTTGGCACACTCATGCATCCTCTGCAACATTCAGTGCATTAGCTTTGTCCTGTGAGGCTGCGTTAAGTTGCCATATATCTAAATCGCCGCCGTATTGTGGTGGTTGCCCAAAGGTGAAGTCGGACTTTAGTTCTCGGTCCCGTGTCAGTGTTGTCGCGTTTTATTTTGTAAACCTTTGCAATGTCTCTCTCCTCTTGAAACCTTTTATTGGCGGCATGATTGGCAGGCTGTTAACGGGTGCAACTCGTTGGTAGAAATTGTCGATGCAGCTCGGCTGATCATAGATTAAAGAGGATTACGTAGGATTAACAGAGCAGGTATAATGGCCCACAACCCAGCTACCCATTTTGTGACAATTTCCTGACTACACACATTTACAAACCGATTTTAAATGTTCTCGATACTGTTACTTCTGACAATCGAATTCAGTTTAACAATCGTATTGTAAAGAATTGACTATTTTTATTTTAACTTCGTTCAGCACAGTTTCATCTTGTTTTACTCTAGTTAAATGACTGTAGTGTATGGCAGGGCCGTAATAGTATTCCAAAGGAGGGATGGCTTGTAGTTCTCATTTATTCATCAGTATTAGGTTCTTCCCATTCTCTGCCTCCAATATCTGGTGAAGGGTTGTGTGTAATGACCTCAAACGTGTTTAGCCACACAGCTCTCCAGTGACAGGTTTGAAATGCATGGCAGGTGTATGTGGGTGTGGGTGTGTGGTGTGTGTGTGTGTGTGGGGGGGGGGTGTGGGAGGGGGGAGTAACATTAAACTAATGTCAGTACAACGAGCGAGGTGATGTTTCAAACTTCATTCACTCGACACAAGATAATGTTATATGCTAACGATCTGAACATTTCAGTAGCTTGTATATCGGTTAATAATTGCTTCGTTGTGTGCCATTGTCTTGGGAGTGTCTCCCTCCCCCTTGACCTCCCCTCGAATCTCTCTTATCCTGCCATCTTGTTTTTTTCTTTCCCTTCTCTCTTGACTCATCTTTATCTTATCCCTCAAGAGCTTTACTTCTGCCGCCCTGGACCTGTGTTCTTTCCTCTCGTATGATGATGGTACTTGGCTTCTTGTTGTTGTTGTTGTTTTAAGATTCGCTACCTGGAACAAAGTTCCAAGTAGCACGGGCTATGGTGATCCCGTAGACATCTATTAGCGATTACGGGGGAGTAAGGTCTAGGTTCTCATGCTCCGCCTATTAATCCTGTTAAGGCCATTGCGTTAAAGCTTCGCTATTCTAACGTTCAAAACAAAGCTTCAATATTGAAATTTTATCACAAATTTGAGGTAAATTAAAATTGTACGTAGGTCACTGCAATTCTAAATGACTAGGCTTAGAGAACATTGAGAATACCGTTAATGAACATCTTTGTGGATTTAATAATCCTGCCACCGCCCACAGAATGGGTGTAGGATTCAGAATAAACCACGTTAACTCAGGTCTTTAACACCCAACCACTTGGGCTGGACAGTAGAACGATGGTGTCGCTTCATGCAGGTCGGCGTTCAATCCCCGACCGTCCGAGTGGTTGGGCACTATTCCTTTCCCCCCGTCCAATCCCAAATCCTTATCTTGATCCCTTCCAAGTGCTATATAGTCGTTATAGTATAGCGCTTTCTCCTGAAAATTTCCTCCCTTCCTCCAAGCAAAGACCCAAAGCCCATTCCATACACTCGCCAAATCTGTTTATGAATGATTAAAGGTTTACACAGGACTCACAACTACTGACGTTCGAACACTTCCGGAACAAGTGCTTCGCTGACGACTTTTCTCCGAACCACAACGCTGTAAATGCTTCACCCACGTATTACAAATAATCGCCAACTGAATCTAAACGCCTAACCTAACTAGTGCTTAAATATGCTCAACATGCTAAAATATAACTTACATTTGAGAAAATTCCTTTTTTGAATGACCAGCATGTTAAAATTGTCGAATGAGTCTTTGGGGTCGACCGCTAGATGGAATGGACTTGGTCTGAGGACGGGTTGGACGGGGGTGGGGAGTGGGTGATGGTAGTGGTGGTGGGGGTGATGGTAGTGGGGGTGGGGGTGGTGGCGGTCACTGGAGGAGATAATAGCGTAGGCGTCATGTGCTTCGCCCGGAAATTAAAGGGCTGGCCGCACTCAGTTACTGGCGCGCCGCGCTCATTTTTTCAACCCACACCCGGCAAGCGTAATAGTGGTGGTGGTGCTAGTAGTGGTGGTGGTGCTAGTGGTGGAGGTATGTGACCATGGTGTTACTGCACACGAAATGCGTGCAAAAGGAATTACTGGCAAAGTAGGGAGTAGGATCTTCAACTTCCTGAAAGAGCAGAACGCAGTGTGTAATAGTCGACACTAAAATCCGGATCATCTACTGTCAAAAGCTCAGTCCCCCCCCCCCCCCCCCCCCCCCCCCCCCAAGGTACTGTACTCGCTCCGGTACTTTTTCTCGTCCTAATATCAGACATACACAAGGATACAAACTACAGCACTGTATCATTATTTGCAGATGACACTTAATATTTTCATGCGAGTAGACAATATAGAGAACACGACGAACCTCCATTCTGATGTAAATCAGGTCTTTCAATGGGCCACATATGATTAATGAAAAAAAGTTCCAGCTCCTGCGCTATGGAAAAAATGAAAATTGAAGAACGGAAACCATATATAAAACCGATTCAAATCTCAATATAGAACGAAAAAGCAATGTAAAGGAACTAGGAATAATGTCAGAAGACCTTACCTTTACAGAGCACAATAAAATAACTCACGACTGCAAGAAAAATGACAGGTTGGTTAACAAGGACCTTCCAAACAAGGGATGCCATACCACTGATGATACTTTTTAAGACACTAGTGCTCTCTTGGGTGGAATATTGTTGCACTTAGTCCCATTCAGAGACGGAGTAATTGCTGACTTGCTAATTGCTTTGGACAACGTGCAAAGATCTTTTACCGCTAGAATCAACTGTCATCTTAATTATTGGAACATTAAAAGATCTAAATCTGTATTCACTAGAGCGCAGGCGAGAGGTGCATAATAATCTACACGTGGAAGATATTAGAGAGACTGGTTCCAAACCTGCACATAGAAATACCACCATATGTGAGACCAGGAGGCATGGCTGGATGCGTAGAATACCCCTGTTGAAAATCAGAGGTGCAATAGGTACTGACGGAGAACTCTATCAACATCAAAGGCCCAAGACTTTTCAACACACTCCCGCTACACGTAAGGAACATAACTGGCTGACCTCTTAGTGTTTCAAGCGAGAACTCGACAAACACCTCCAAAGAATACCTGTTAAACCAGGCTGTGATTCTTACGTCAGGCTGCGAGCAGCCACGTCCACCAGCCTGGTTGACCAGACGACCAACCGGGAGGCCTGGTCGGAGACCGTACCGCGGGGTGGTTTATCCCCGGAAGCCACACAAGGTAGGTAGTGGTGGTGTGGTTGTTTCTTAACCTGCTGGAGTTGTTAATTAACACTGATGACAATGCCGCTATCCTCTGCAATCACCGACAAAATATGCTTACTGCTTATTTCTTTATAATTTGCGTCGTAGAGTATTAAGCACGACACTTTTGTGAACGTAGCATTATAAAAGGTGAATATGGTGAAGTAAAGGCCCCAAGGTAGACTCGTTACTGGTGATGTATGTAACCTAATTACAAAACATTAAAATTAGCATTAATGCTCTTGACCAAAAGCCTCCATAAATACCCCGCAATGTTTCCTGTGTCTGTGGGTCGGGCTGGTGGCACGCTGCTCATTTTCTTTCCGTATTAAGTATTTTTCTTTGCATCATAACGTATATCTAAAATAAAAATTCAGTATCTAACATTTTTTCTTTATTTGTTTTCCCATTTTGTTAATTTAAAGACGTGTGTGTGTGTTAAATATATTAAAATGTGATAGTTTGCTTGTGTACTTTAAATCATAATCATTTAATTATCACAAATGTGAAGTGAAAAAGGCGTTTTCTAAACTTTAGCGTTGTTCAATTGGGCGTTTATTTTTTTATTTATAAATTATAATATAATTCATTGTGTCGGGGGACAGGCAGCCAGTGTGTTTATACACGTTAGGCTTATATTGAGGTCTCGCTTCCTCCCCGAGGTCGAATTACAGACCTCGCCAGGATACAACCCCATAATAAGCTGACCAACTCCTGGGTGTTCCTACTTCCTGCTAGGTGAACAGCCGAATTAGGTGATAGGAAATGCCCCCAACCATTTCTGTCTCGTCCAGGATTCGAACCCGGAATTCTAGATTGTGATTCGAGAACGAAGCCGACTGTACTACGTATTTAACTTTGATTTCAACATAGCATTTAATTTAAAGTTATACTGGTGCATATTCTTGCGGTTTTAATTTATGTTAAGTGGGTTAGCAAAGTTTAGTTTGATGGTTCAGACTTGACATTGACACCACTTGTGTTAGAAGGTTGGGAACCTCTTTAGGTTAAGAACTACTGAAAGCTAAGTGGAATCTAAAGTCATTCTTTTCCTTTCAGATATTCCATGATGTTTACCTATTACGGCACCGGAGAGTGGCGCGGCGCTCAGCTGATCCATCCCAGACCCACCACCATAACCTTATGGCCGAGCCCCATGTGAGTACCTATCCCTTACCCACGGCCCTCACCCTATCCCTTATATATTATATTAATCAAAGTCTTGACATAAATGTTATGGTTGTTAATCTAACCACTTGAAAGCACTTATTTCACTTTAGGGCAAAATGCTTGGAAATTCTGTAGCAAATATTGCAGTTTAATATTACAATATATTTACCAAAGACTCGTGATTCTAAGACCTAAACCTATTAATCTTAGAGGTCAGGTTATTCTGAAGCAGGTGGCCATCTTTGACACCAATTACTGACTTAAATCGCCATATGGTCTTGCGAGGTACCGAATAAAAACGCAGGTCCTTCAGAACGGTAATCTCTTGCAGCAAAGGTCTGAGGAGTAGCTAGGCTAGGAGCTAAGTCTTGGACAGCGCAAAGGTGTTTGGACAAGCAAGTCTGGCGCCCATTGTTGAATCTGTGTTTGTTGTTCCACCAGTTGCATTAGGGCTCACAACTTGTACTCATACCTACACTTCGTTTTATTTCACATGATGTGAAAAGATAACCAGATCGACTCGTCTTGGTTGCAACCTTGAGCTGGTATTTTTCCTATCCTGGAGGTGGCAGTGCTGCTGCTCTGTCCAAACTTATCCCCCTCCCCCCGTGATCCCACCCACCCTCTTGCCCAACAGGTTACAGGGCCCTTCCGGCGTAAAATTCCCCACCTACACAACTTCCTCCCTTTCCCAGCGTTATTAGTCTCCGTTCCCCGTCCTTTGTCTTTGCTAGTCTCGTTGCTGCAACCGGCAGCCTAGTGCCCTATTTGCTGTGGGTACGCCGGTGTATACCCTTCCTCTTCCCCCGTGAAGAAATGTATCACCAGTTCTGATTATTTTGTTATAGACGCATGGCTACACTGTCCAAAGATATTTCTGCTCCTTATAATTAGTAAATTCGTAGGTAAATCATAAAAGAGCGAGGCGAATAATTTTTTGTATTAACACATTAGATATATCTGCATTTCTGCAGCTACCCCTAGGCTATATGAAGGGGAGTACAGCGTGTCAAAAAGCTAGCTACGTGGTGCTCAAAATTCCCCATCACACAGGATGGTTAGTCATACAGAGGCATGTAACAAGTAGTCTGCACTGGCAGACTCTGAGTGCACTGAGGATATCAACACAAGAGTGAATAAGGTAGCAGTGATACCGAGTCTCCATCTGGTTATAACAAAAGAAGATATACGTGTTACCAACTCTGGGGCCCTCCCCCGTCATGATTGAGGGTCAAGTGCAGCGTATAGCGAGTGTATCATATCTTATAATATTGTGTCAAATAAACGGCAATAGCCTAATAGACCAAACTTTCACAAGTCAAGCCTGGCTTCGGGCCGGGCTTGGGGAGTAGAACAACCCCATCAACCAGGTAAACAACAGAGTTTTAGGATCCCCCATAGATAGATATACCGATAAAAATACGTGGTACTGTATCTACAGAGTACAATAGATACTGAAAGGGTTGAGGTAGAACAGTTAGAAATGAAGGTATAACTCGTACACTGGTGGTGGTGGAGAGGGGCTGTGTGTTAGACGTGCTGGTCTCGTTATGCGACTGACTGACTCCTGCTGGTGCTTCAGGTCCGATGGGCGGAGCAACAGGTGGTGAAGAGGCGTGTTAAAAGGGATTTTTTAGACCGGCCGCCAACGCCCTTCAGGTCCACCTGGATGGACGATCCCAAGTGGCCGCAGATGTGGTATCTGGTAAGTGGACGATTTACTGTGTTTGGTAATTTTGGAGAGCTTGGCAATTATTCTCGTTTAAATTCCCCAGGAGCAATTGGTATTTAGTCCATTGGTTTATAAGTATATATATTTTTTTAAACTTTTGTCATTATGCTGCAGTAACATTATACAATAAATATGTATGATATATCATTGTAGTTTTTGATGAATCCAGGATAGGCCTATTAGATTGGCTTGGTTGTAATTGTTTAATTTGGGCTTTGCACTAATCTGCGATTTTTCATTTAGTGAAAGTTGATTTAAATATAAAATAGTGTGTTTTATATAAAGCGTGACATTTTTTTTAAAGTATCATCTACTTTGGTTTCCTTCTTACTGACGTTCGGGAGTGTCTCCTGCTTGTTTAGTTTAATTCCAATATTTTTCTTTTTTAAATTAATGAGGAAAATTGCTCATTGACTTTGCATTATATTCTCCCCCACAAAGTTTCCTCCATACATTATGCTTTACTGTAAAGTATTGAGACTCCCAGCAAGTATAAGAAACATTGCCGGAACAACCGTGGACATACTCAAGAGAAAACTAGATAGTTTTCTTCAAGGAGTGCCGGACCAACCGGGCTGTGGTGGATATGTGGCCCTGCGGGCCGCTCCAAGCAACAGCCTGGTGGACCGAACGACACCAAGTCAAGCCTGGCCTCGGGCCGGGCTTATGGAGTAGAAGAACTCCCAGAATCCCATCGAGCAGGTATAGGTACAATCCAGGCTTTAAATGATGGTCATGTCATTGGCTTACTTGCTGAGATGGTTTCCTTTGCCTAACAGAACAGAGGTGGGTCTCTAGACATGAACGTCCAGGCGGCGTGGGCCGAGGGGGTGACGGGCAAGGGCGTGGTGGTCACCATCTTGGATGACGGTCTCGAAAAGGACCATCCGGACCTTATCAAGAACTATGTAAGTCAGCAGAACTTAAGTTTTTAATTTAGTGTGAATTTGGTAGTTGGTCACATGGTTGGCTGTGAGAACATGATTTCTTGTAGTTGTATACATCCGCATGCACAAACTCTTACCTCGTCCACCTGCACAGTTCATCCATGACAGTATCTTCATCCCTTCCCTGACAGCTGAGTGGACAGCGCTTCAGATTCGTAGTCCTGAAGTTCGGGTTCGATCCCTGGTGGAAGTGGAAACATATGGGCAGAATTTCTTTCACCCTGATAACTAAATATATGTTGAGTATGTATTGTCACGTTGCACTTAATGTTGCAGGATCCCAATGCATCTTATGACGTCAATAGTCATGACCAAGATCCCATGCCTCGCTATGACCTGGTCGACTCTAACCGCCACGGGACGCGCTGTGCTGGAGAGGTGGCAGCTGGCGCTAACAACTCCATCTGTGCTGTTGGTGTTGCCTTTGAGGCATCAGTTGGAGGTAAGTATGTTGTTGTTGTTGTTATAGATTCAGCTACTCGGAACAAGTTCCAAGTAGCACGGGCTATGGTGAGCCCGTAGTGGACTTGCCTGGCACATGAGCGGGGCTGTGTCGGTAAGTATGCACTTGATTGGTTATATATACTGTATTACGAAACCAGAAGTATCCTTACGGGCTATTCATGCCCATGCCACCTCTTGGGTGGCTTAATCTTTATCAATCAATCAATCACCAGAAGTATGAAGGTAGATAGGTTGAGAGATAATGTTTTGTCATTCTCTTGGGTAAAACATGCTGAGCCCTCTCTTGGTCTCTTCAAACAGGTGTTCGAATGTTGGACGGAGATGTTACAGATGCAGTTGAGGCGCGGTCTTTGGCTCTCAACCCGCAACACATAGATATCTACTCTGCCTCCTGGGGTCCTGACGATGATGGCAAGACTGTTGATGGGCCAGGCCAGTTGGCAACACGAGCATTTGTGGAAGGAATCAGAAATGTAGGACTCTGTTTTGATTACATTTATAAAATCTTGTCTAGGGCAGCTAATGTGGTTAGATATTGGCTGGTCTATATTTCGAGCTACGGTATGGTAGTTATCTAATAATGGGATTCAAAAAATTCCTGGTTTAATTTTTTATCTACATTTGTTAACAATCCTCCCTTAATGTCAAGAACTGTAATGTAAATATTTGGCTTTGAATCACCCTCCATTATTATTAATGTTCAATTTTATGGAGTAAAGACTGAAAACCATGCCAAAGACAGCAGCTCACTTCGCCCTTGCAAACGTGAATTTCATACTTGTACCCTAAACTGTGCCATAAGAAGTAAATTCCATCACAGCATTCCTAACCCTTAGATGAAGGTTCAGGGGAATTAACGCTTTCCACTTCCCCCCCTAGAGAACCTAATGAGCCTTGGGTTCTGCTAATAAATGTTTTAAATCAAGATTTGACATTTTTGGCAAACAATTGGCTATTCATTTGGTATTGTTACCTAATAAAAGAGAGACTTTATCATTTAAAGTTAATTATAATAATTTAGTAGCATGTGGCATTATGTCCAGAATGTGTGTGCAAACTACTATATTAAGTTTGCTGTTTTTGTCACCCATGTTAACATTTTCCCCGAATCCTAAAAAATACAAAATATAAATAAAGGGCAAGTCGTCATTTAAATTTGAGTAGCTTACATAAATACTGTATCAGAATTTAATTAATGTGAAAATCCATAATTTTAGATTTACACAGGGTATATCCATTTCAAGTTAATTGCACATTCAAAGCAAACATGATGCATACCTTCTACTTTTTCTTATTCATTCATTTAGAATTGCATACATATGATTACAAAAGATTAAAAAATCTAATAATTTCACACAGTAATTACTGTACGCACATCAAACTTGCCATTGCTGAACAAGTTTTGTTTCTTGTCATATTTTAGTTGTACATTTCCTTTGTTTTCTGGTCATCCTATACAATAATGCTGCAAGATTTGTGATTTTCTTTGGAAGAAGATATAGATGAATCTTTAAATTAATCACCTTTTTCCATAGGCACGAGATTAACATTTGTAGACACCATACAGTACTTTATTAATAATCAAAGATGAATAAAGGAAAAACTAATCATTCCTGTATAAGGAGGTACAGACCTAAATTTTTTGTACCTTGTGACACCATTCATTTCAGTTGCCATGATACTCTAATTTGCAGGGCCGTGGTGGTAAAGGGTCCATATTTGTGTGGGCCTCGGGCAATGGAGGTAGAGACCAAGATAATTGTAACTGTGATGGCTACACCAACTCTATTTGGACACTTAGTATATCATCAGCCACAGGTATTAAAGGCTAAAATTGTTTTTTTTTTATCTTCCATAGTTTTAAAATGAGCTATTTTAAAATGATCAAAATAATTTGTAATTGTATTTAAATGCCTTTAGAGGCACTTATAATATTGGATGTTTATTGTGCATATCTATAGTTTTGCTAGTCGATAGGTCATTGTTGCTACTGTAAGGTATGGAAGAAAAAGTATGATGCAGTGGTGTGAAATAACTCCTTAATACAAATGCAGTAAACGTTGAATTATAATTTTCAGTAATTTATTTTTGAAAGTTCTATTAAGAAACGTATTGACAATGTTGGTACAGTACTGTATTTGTAATAGCGACATACATGTACTGTACTTGTTTAACCTTCCTATCACTTTTTTTTAGTGCTTGTAACATTTGTTAGAAATTGAAATGCAAGTTTAGTTGTGGAAAAATTTATTGTTCATGGCAAGTTCATACAGGTGAGAAAATTGACACATCACACATACATAAGGAGGGAACATTTGGAAAAGATGGAGTATGAGTATTAAATATTGCAAAGGTAATGTGGAGAAAATGGAGCAGGCTGCTGAAAGGTCCCAATGTATTAATGTAGCAAAATGGACACTTGGCTAGAATGGGGGTAACTGACGGCAACAAATCTTCTTAAACTTGGAAATTTTATGTTGTTAGTATTGGGAGATTTTCTGACTTAGCTTTGCTAAACAGCTTTGCTAAACTATTTGTATTATTTTAATTGCTGGGGGGGGGGGGAAGACAATCTGCTTAGACATAACTAAGCCTCACCTTTGGGGAGGGGTAACCATCTGCACAATCTCCCAACCAGGACATGGCCAGATCCAAAGGGATTTAACCATACCAAGGTCTGAAGCTTTGTTTTCTGACGACTAAATTAGTATGACTTTCTTGCACTGGCCTACAGGCTTCCATAGCAGTTGCATCCAGGCTGATTCATACTTCCAATAAGAATGCTGTACTAATTTTTGAAAACTTCAATCATTTTGCCAGCAATATTTCTTATTTTTCCAGTAGAAGTTTAAATAGTAATGAATCTTTTGATATTTGTGTCCATAATGCTAATGTTGGGTAATACTGATAGCATTCCAAAGAATAGTGAATGTCAAAGTACTATAGTTGTTATCGTGGAGTGACTTTTATTTTTCATATCTTGATACAGTGTTTAAGGTGTCACTAAATCCACAGAAAAAGGTCGCGTTCCATGGTACTCGGAGGCCTGTAGCTCCACTCTTGCCACAACTTATAGTTCTGGATCACTGGGTGAGCGCCAAATCATTACCACTGACCTTCACCACTCCTGTACATCTTCACACACGGGAACATCAGCCTCGGCTCCTTTGGCTGCAGCAATTTGTGCTCTAGCTCTTCAGGTAATTTTATACACAGAACTGTACTAGTATTTTGGTATGATTTCGTGCGCGTTATTTTAGAATTGTATTAAATTAGGCTTTAGTTGCCTATGCAGGAACACGCAGGAAAACTTGACCACGGTATTTTGTTTATACATTACTGTAGTTGATTTCAATTTTCATGATACTGTATCTATAAAACTTCATGTTTTATATCATTATACAAATAATAGCCTATCTATGATTTGTTTGTTTGCTTCTCGTGGAGTTTTATGTATGTGTTGAGGAAATAATTTCTTCCCAGAATCATTTCAGTTGTGTATTTTAATATCCTATTTAATGGTAATTTCCTCAGTTCCTTAAGGGATATTTAGACTACGTTTTCTGTCCACTTGGCGAGCTACCTATTGACTACCTGTTATTATTACTGGGAATCAATGTCCCCACAACCCAGTCTCTGACCAGGCCTCCTGGTTGAAATTGAAATAAGTTTGAGGTAAAATACACACAAAGGGATGAGGTAGCTTAAGCTATTCTCACCCTGTTCAGAACATCGTGTTAGTTGGTAGTCTGGCCAACTATGAGATAATGTACCCATATGTCATTATACCATTAATATGGGATTTTTATGTTATTGATCAATAACAATGACTTCAGTAGTAAGTGTTCATAAGAATAAATTTGCATCCTTGTTTTCATTTAGAGCAAGACATACTTAGCAGGTATTTGTGTATTAATACAGACTTGGGTCAAAATAACATAATTTCTCTTGGCTGAACTCTGGTTTTAAAATGCATAACCTCTATTTACGAAGGTAAATCGGGATATTACGTGGCGTGACATGCAGCATATAGTAGTACGAACTGCAAGACCAGAAAATTTGGAAGCCCCAGATTGGCAGACCAATGGTGTAGGACGTCAGGTTTCACATAGGTAAGAACAGACTAGAATTTTGTGTAATTTTATTATTAATACACAGTATCTTGTTATCAATAATAATATAATTCTAATAGTGAAATGGGAGACTAATAAATGTGACCGACTTGTCAATCCTTGGGTGAAACAAGACTTCAGAGACATAAGTGTGCATTTTATATTCTAATCCTTAATGTAGGCATAGTGTTATGTACATTTTCATTACTTCATTTCCCATTTTCATTGGATGAGGCAACATCGGGACATTTTTTTTTATTGTACTTCTTTACTTTGTATTACAGTAAAATGTTAAATATTAAAAACTATTGAACTATCAGGGAGAAGAAGCTTTGAGGTTCTGTGGTTATTACCATAACCTTAGATGTGTTGCTTCATTATTTTCATCTTGTATTACTCTACAGCATTATAAATTGGTTCTTTGTAACCAAAATTAATAAATTTTCCCCTACAATTTGCATGCATTTCAGTTTTGTTTGTATTTTACCTTTTTTTTCCCCCTTCTGCTTCTGTTCGATGCAAGAAATTAGCGACATTTTATGCAGACCGTTAGTGTGTGAAATTCATTGGGAATTTTAAGTGCCCATTAAAATTTCTTTGAACACAAAGATGGTACAGTAGAATATTTTAAGTATCTTTTGGTATACAATATTCTACACTGGATACACTCTTGAAATCGTAAGTTGCCAAGAATAAGGAATCGGATATGGCTGGCAATTGGCTAATTCTAATACTAATATGTGTTCAGATTTGTGTTCATAAAATGAACCTTTTATAATTGACACAGGTTTGGATATGGCCTCATGGATTCCTATGGCATGGTTCAGCTAGCAAGAAACTGGACAAGTGTTCCAACTCAACGAAAATGTGAGGTTAATGCACCACATGTTGAAAAGTAAGTATTAAAATGTACAAATTATATATATTTATCTGAAAATTAATATTTAGGAAGTTTGAAGAAGTTCATTTTCTACCATATGTCTCAATTGGAAGATAATTTTTTGTTTTGTTTACCGTGATTTTTCTGGATAATTTTCTTAGCACTTATCACTTAGGTTTACTGTACTTTCATTAGTGTTTGCTTTTTTGCATACTTGGTTACATGCTTCCATTTATAAGTTTTGATTTAGCAACACCAGGACCAGCTGGTATGCCCTAGGTCATGGCTTTACGTCTAGCTTGTTTTGGTTGTTTTACGAACATTATCATTTGTTTCCTTCCTTGGACTGGGATGCTATGATGCATAGTTTCGCCTGTAATAACTCAATTTACGGCAGTGGATTTAAACGCATATCAGCCTATGCACAAAAAGGTATTTTGTCAAAAATTGTTAACCTAAAATTTTTAATTTGATGTAAAATGAAAAAAAAAAAAAAAAAATAGGAATACAGTATCCACTTCTTTACTTGTTGGATGAGGTGTGAAAGATTGTGGGGGGATAGGGGGGGGGGGGAGGCACTTTGGGCCATCTGTCGACGCTGAAACTGTAGTACGCTGAGCACTCAAGTGTTCACCTTCGAAGTTTCCAAGATCGTTTAACACTCTTTATGTACATGTGTTTAATAAACATATGGTAATGCATTACCCAGTAAATCAACATATGATAGCCTTACTTTCAGGGATAATACTGTACTGTACTGGTCATTCATTGCTTGAATTTGAAACATGGAAAGTAGTTTGTGGAGCTACTCCAGATTGTCATACAATTTGGGAGATGTTTGCACACAGTATTAAATTTTTCTTAAATTACTTTTAGTACATTTTACCTTAAACAGAAGTAGATTATTGTTACAGATACAGTAGATACATTAATAATAATCTTTGTCTACAGATTAATTCCACAAAAGAGCTTCGTCACTTTGGAGTTAGATGTCACAGATTGTCCGGGAGTTAGCTATTTGGAACATGTTCAAGCTAAGGTAACTTAAACAATGTCAAATATGTATATATGATTATACTTAGCACTATACATTTTGTGGAAGCAAAAGTACTGGCAAAAATGAATGGAAGGAAATAATTATTCTTTGCAGGTCTCATTAACAGCTGATCGTCGCGGTGATATAGAAATCTATTTGTCTTCTCCCGCTGGTACAAAATCTACTTTGCTTGCTCAGCGACCCCATGACAATTCTCGCTCTGGCTTCCATGTGAGTTGGCACCCAATGTACTGTTCATCTTGAACTGTTAGGGTGGAGTGTCGTAGCAGATCGACCTTTAAAAGTAGCAGATATGCTGCTACTTTTAAAGGAGGGGGGGAATATTTCAGATGGATTATGATTGCATTGATATACAATAGTTTAAATCAGGTTTCCTAAGCATTTTAAATGTCACCCTCACAAGATTTTTAAAACTTTATCAACCCCCCCCCCCCAATTCAATAAATAATGTATAATTTTTGCCATTTCTATATACTGTGCATAAAGCTAAACTGGAGAACAGTGGAAGATAAAAAAATTGAAATATCTTTTAAAGTTTACCACCTTATTGAGGTGGATGGGCCTGATATTTTAACACATCAATATGGCATAGTACTGGAGTGTTACTTGGAGCAATACACCTTAGGATAAGTTCAGATTACAATTTCAAAATGATTTCTATGATTTTAATTGCTTTTATAATAACTTCTTTGCTCATCATGTGACTTTCCTCTACTTCAATTATTTTAATCATTAGATAAGTTTTCAATCTTATTATATTATGACAAAATTTGCTCTGCCCTATCTGTGTTTTACATAGGATTGATATTATATAAGTATTTGACCCCATTAGTTTTGTTTACTTTTATGCAATTGTCACTTCTCTGCACAGTTCTCTAGACACTTTAGGATCTATACTGACCACTTTAGGAACCATTGGTATGAATAAAGGTACAACTAGAGCTCAGTTATTTTGTGTCAAAATGTTTTAAGGTTGGCATGTTATGTTTAATATTTACTAGTATTTTTTTTTTGTCATTAATTTGTGAGACAATTTTACATTTTTGTCAAAACCATTTATCTAGTTTTCATGGGCTGTTTTAACATAATATACAGTATAATCCAATATTGATTGCTTTTGGAGGATACTTCAATTAAATTTCATTGACAGTCATGGCCATTCTTGACCGTCCATATGTGGGGTGAGCGTCCACTTGGCAAGTGGAAGTTGGAAATCCATAACAATGGCCATTTCTTCACTACTGGTAAGTAAAATAATAATGTTAGCTAATTGCGTTGTAATGTAGAGATGTTGCAGTGCCTTCAAAAGACTTCAATCTACCTTTCTTCCTTTGCCAATCAATACCTTTTCTTAACAGTACTAATACTGTTCTGTGCTAAACTGGTGAAAATGAATATTTTCTTCTCTGCAATTGAAACTTCTTCCAAACTTCTGATATAGCTTGTTGCAGTTTCTGTACCCTGATTTAAGGAATACCTGATGTTTGTATTTGAGAACATTGATACAAAAAATTCCAGTATGCCATCGTCTTAATGTTAGTTGGTGCATAAATTGTATTGTGTATTGTGTTGTGGTATGAAGGAATATTCTCCCACATGTACTGATAATCTGGTAGTGACCAAATGGTTATATATCATTATATATTTTAGTAGACTGGTTGGCCTTTGTTGCCCATGGAAGTGGGACCTTGGAACAAAGCAAGGTGGGCACCCTGTAAATTAAGAGAGAAATTATTACAAATGTGAAAATAGTTGAAATTTTTCAATAAATAGTAAGGGAAAATTAATTACTTTTTGGTGTAGTTAAAACTAAGAAATAGAGCAAAAAGGATGAATTTGTGTGACAGAGGCGTAGTGGCAAGTTGTTCAGTAAGCACATTAATGAAAATCCTTGTGAATATTATAGGTAGGTTAAAAAAAGTTTGAGAATGGACAGAACATTGCGACATTAGGCATATCAGACATATTCAGTAAAATATAGCTTGAAGTATTTAGTTTGTATAGATATGTAATAGTATATATAGAGGAACCTTGGTATTTGGACTTAATTGATTCCAGAATTAAGTAATTTAGACTTGGTCATTTAGACGTACCTGGTGCACTTATTGCCTCGGCTAGTTCTGCCATATTTTTTCTTGGAAATTGTAGATTAAAATGACTTAAACAATTTCTTTCAATGTGTTCCACTTCATGTAGGATACATTTTATGCCTGAATTTTCCACAATATCAAATGTGTGTACAGTACTTTTATATAAATACAGTATTATGATTTCCTTACATCTTCACAACTCTACTCCCTATCCAGCTTCCACTGATGTCCTCTTGCCCATTTATTTCACTCGCCACCTTCCCTGTAGTGATCATATTACCATTTGTTTTCAAAGGTTGAAAGATTGTACCCTTAACCTGTCCTTATAGCATTCTTCCTCAATTCTGGTACTAGTTTAATTACAAACCTCTATTTTCTACAATTTCATTTTGTGCTTCTTGGAATGTGAATTCTATATTGGTTTTGGAGGCTTCAGTAATGGTCTTGCAGTGTGTGCGCGCGCGCGCACACATTTGAGAGCCGCCTCCTATAGAATTTTTTAAATGTTTGTGTTGATCAACTTCCCAGATACAACCAACATTACTCTCTTCACATGGATTTGGATTATATTCACTGCTAAGTCTTTGTCTTGTTTAATTTTTAGTTGCCTATCCATTAGTGGGAAGTTTCATACCAGTCGTCTGTCCTCCCTTTCCCATCTTCATCAGTTGCACTTGTTTGGACTGAATCCCAGCAGCCACTTCTGAAACTTGTCAAGAACCTCTTGTGGCACATCATAGTTCTCAGTCTCATCACCTGCTTTGCAGCATCTGTGCTGTTGTGGATGCAAAACAACTGGAGTGTGTTGCTGGTGTACAGTGACAGTGAAAAGCACGGTCATTGCCTCGGCCAGCATATAAAAGTGGGAAAGTAAATACAGTAGATAAATAGTGGAGGAGCAGTAAAAACTGAATGTAGATAAGTGGTGAAATGGTAAGATTACTAAAGATAATGGCTAGAAGTGGGAGCAATGGTAATCCAATTACATTCCTTTCAGCAGCCCCACCATGGTCAGCTAAGGTCAACAAGTCTAATATAAAGAGTAAAATAGTTTTTTCCATTAGCTTGCATAACCTACCTGTTGCAGATTTTGTCTCATTGCTGATAAAAGATCGTGATGTAAAGAGTCAACAGACACGACTATACAAAGTTCCAAGGGACAAATCGAGTGCAAGTAAGATTGTCGATTTCATAATGCACACTAAACGGTCGCCTTGACCCTGAATGCATTTCATAAAAATTAAAAACATTTTATACATTCATTCTTTTTGACATTATGGATTGACAGTTTTCCTATTGAGTCACATAAATGGCAGGTTTTCATGTAAAAAAATTGAGAGCAAGTGCTGTTCTCCTTTAGTAGGTTTAAAATTGTTACTTGAAATATTAGTTCCTGTGCTATATAATGGCATAAGTAGACTACATCATCATATGACAGATCACAATAGCAGACAGGTTTGGAGTTTCTCTTTAACATCCAGATACGTGTTCGGAAGTGATGTAACTGGTGAGTGGGCCTTGAGCTGCATGCAATGACTAATGTAGAAGCCACTTGACGTCTATACAAGTCTGCAACAGTCATACCACCTCTTACCAGCTACTTTAATATGTGTGATGCCATTGTAGCTTTTGAGGATTCCATGCCACCCTTCAGAATAAGTACATGGTTGAGGAATGTTTATTTGCTTTTGGAAATGCTTGGCTTTTTCCATAGGCCATCCTTACACTGGGCATTATATTTTATTTCTATAACCTCAAGGCATATATTTGTTAATCCCACACTGTCATTAACACTCCTTACTTTAGGTCAACTAAATTTTCTGGCAGCCAGGGGCTAAGATTTCTCTATTCAAAATATAAAAAGGCTGTTTTGCTATAGTTGTACTAAGCAACCCATGTAACTGCTGGGAATGCCTTTTTCAATCATCCTAAAATCTCTATTGCATCTTCATTTTCCTGCTAGTTAAAGCTTTGACTAGCATACTGCCTGTGTTTTTTTGACAACAGCAAAAGCTTCCTAAATTTTGCTGGTAAATTCAGGAATGTGAATGAAAATGATGAATGGCCATACCAGAAATGAGTTACTGGTTCACCCCATCATGGGACAAGTGCCTTATAGCAGCCAACTCCAGGAATTGCTAATGCTAAACCTTGCCCATGTTGCATCTCATTGCTTGACCATCATTCTCCAGTCATGTGGCCTGTGAGGTTTCTCCCATCGGCCTTCTCATAGTGAGCTTCAGTGATGGTGTGCTAAGGTGACATCTGGGGACCTCTGGTGGACTTAGGCCCTCCAAGACTCTTGGAGTTAAATGTATCATTTTAGGGCCTTACAAAGTAATGATTGGATCCTCCAGATACAATCATTACCTTATCAAAACTGTACTCTCATTTCTTGTCAAACTATCCAGATGACCATTTCCCAGGTTAATCAGATGGTTTAGAATCATTTTTGGCTCATTTTTGTGGATCTGTGGTCCTCCTTTTCAATTCTCAATTTGAGCTATTGGTCATGTTCATTCTATTCTGGCTCATTGTGGAGTGCAGACTTGTGCCCCAATACTGTTGTCTCCTACTATTCAGCCTTGGTGGAGCCCCTCTTGCGGGCTTTTGGGTAGATGTATCTTCTACCCTTTTCCTCAAGCTGTCCCAAATCTGTATCACTTGGCCAGCTCCCATTCCTTTGGAACCGTCTTGGTTCATGGGTTGGGTTCTTATGTCCTCGCCTTGGTTTTTTATCTCCCTCAGCTGAGGATTCATTTTTTAATGCCAGTTTTCATGCAAGCCATGACTTCTGGGATTTGTTTGTAAATCTTGTGCTCTTTGCTGCAAGAAAATGTTTTACTTTCATGCTGGAGAATGTTCTATCTTTAGCCTTCATTTTTTTTAAGTTGGAACAAGTCTTCTGCTTTTTGTCAGTCCTCTCAAAGTGGAGGTTTTGCCTGTTCAGCTGGGAGTGCATAATGCCCTTTATCCCATTTTTACTGTTTTGTGTAACAGTAAATAGGTACCAGGAAATTGGGCAACTACTGGGAAAGGTCAGTCATTGGTCTAAGGGTATCTTGGCAAGTCTAAGTCATCCTACCTAAAGTCATTTACCTAAAGTAACAGCCATCCTACTTCACCAACAGGAGAAACTATTTAAGCTCGTTTAATGGAGGAGATGGAAGGGGGCCGTCTCCTCAATTGTTCTTAATTACTAGAAAGTATTTAGGATCCAGTATTGTATATGGTGTTAGTAATGTGTTGATCGCTCAATCAGGTTGATGCCAACCTTGCATAGGGAAGGGTGATCACGTGAACAGCCACTACCTTACCTTGGGTATCTTGACGAGTCCAACAGGCTTATTGTCCTGACAGTGTTATACCATACCATGTACCTAAGGGCGCCTAACAGCTGAGTGGACAGCGCTTCGTATTTGTAGTCCTGAGGTTCCGGGTTCGATTCCCGGTGGAGGCAGAAACAAATGGGAAAAGTTTTTCACCCAGGTGCCCCTGTTACTTAGCAGTAAATAGGTACCTGGGAGTTAGACAGCTGCTATGGGCTGCTTCCTGGGGGAAGGGGGGTGTAACAAAAAGGAGGCCTGGTCAAGGACCAGGCCGCGGGGACGCTAAGCCCCGAAATAATTTCTAGATCACCTCTCAAGAAGGGCCACTCATGTTTGATAAATTTGCTGTCATTCTTTTCCAGCATATTTGGGGCAGTTGATAGTGGAAAGGATTGCGACAATTTACCTTGACTAGCAGAGGGTTTTGATATGGTGTTGCACAAAAGATCAATTAGAAAGATCACTCACTGTATTGGGGTGCTATCTTAAGTTGGATAAGAGCAAGGTTATATCAAAGTAAATAGTGTAATGGAATTAAGTCAGAGTGGATAACTGATATGTTGGCCCCCCCCCCCCTGAGGCTGTGTCCTGGAATGATTCAAATTCAAGATTGAACAGCATTATTTGCAAATTTGCAGAGATACAAAAAAATTGGGTGGGGAAATAAATTCAGAAGACTCAAAATCAGTTTTTAAAATGAACTAGATAAGCTTTTAAGAATGTTGAAAGATTGGTAAATGCAGACAAATGCAAGATTTTGAGGGTAGGTAATGATGATAGCTATATTAGCTGGATAGTATTAAAATTGCTAAGTCAGTTTGGGAAAAAAAGAGATCTAGAAGGTTATGACTAGTAGGAATTTAAAGGCAAAAATTCAATACATTATTGTTTGAAATAAAACTGGGATTTATTTAATAATTAATAATTCATTGTGTCAGGGGATATGCAACCAGAGGGTATTCATAAACTTTAGGTTATATCGGTCATTTCTTAAGGCATAAGAAATGCCTTAAATAATTTTGTGCATAATTTGTCTCAAATTCCCATCTTAAGTGTTTGTTATATACACAGTACAGTAATTATTCAGGAAAGGGAATTTTACTGTCTAGGACAATTTTAAAACCCAAAAATTAAGTGAATAAATATCTTGGTTTTAAATGAATAGATTGCATGTTTCAAATTGTGTGAAGATTTCTTTGTGTGGGCACTGTGTTTGAGGTATGCGTTGCAAGTATCAAGCACCAGGACAAATTTAGGAATGCCTGGTTTTTTCTCTGCATGCATTTGTCTTACTGATAGAGCCTCTTGGTGATTGGGACACTGCAACACTTTTATATTTAATGCACTAACTACTATTCTGGGGTCTAGTGTGTTATTGTAAGTAGTTTTCAGTCTTCTATTTTTTATTTTGGTTATACAGTAATACAATAATGGAATTCTTAACTTGGATTATGGCTGTCTAACATTTACAATACTTAAATAAAACTTTGTATGATAGTAGGCTTAAAAGAATAATTTGGTGATGGGATTACCTCCTGAATAAAAAAAAAATAAGTTGGGTATACTGTAGTGGGACTCGCTCAATAGTGTAGCTAATTTGCACCGCCCCCTCCTTGCCTGCTGCCTATGCTGACCATGCTGTTCCTGCTGCTGCTGCCACTACTGCTGCTGCCCTCTAGGAGCCACTCTGCTGGAAGAGTGGACACTCATCTTTCATGGCACCAGAACTAACACAGACAAGTGGCAGGCACGAGGGGGGCGTAGGGACCGTGGTGGCGGAGGGGTGGTAGGACTGGGGATTGTGCCAATCTCCTATCCGTACAACCCTCCAACCACTCCTACCACCACATCAACCACATCCAGCACGACACCCCGACTATGGCACCTATACCAACCAGGAAACCCCTTGTACCCAATTCCCTCACAGTCTCCCCAATCCCCTGACTACAAATCACTGCCTGCTTCTATACGCCCGCCAAATCATCGTGACAGCTCCCACCATAAGGGTAACTAAATGGCTGCGTATACCCAACATTAATTTTGTAATGGTAACCTTTAAATTTGCATGTCATATTTACATGTGAAATTGTACATGACTTGCATGCTTATACATTTATTAATTTTCATGTAGAGTGTCGAACTGTAATTATTTTGGTTAATTTACTATAGATTTTTTGTACCGTATAATGGAAATCTTTCTTTAGCTAACCTCTGCACTGCACAGTGCCATAAGGTGTTCAATGGGTGGTGCAATTGTTTTTTTAATTTAGCAATATTGTAATGTCTTAAGAATTTTTATTTAAAAAAAAAATGTTTGGCAACATTTTGACATTTTTCCTAGTTTTTGTAATTTTTAGTTAATGTTAATTCATTAACGAGTGCATCACAAAGTTGTCGCATGAAAGAGGTGCACAGTGCAGGGGTTAGTGACTTGCATCTTGTAGGTTTAATATTTTCTTCTTAGCCATCACTATTGATGAGCATTCTAAAGGCAAAGAATAACTTTTGCATATAACTGAAGTTCTTTGGAAACTCCATTAAATTTCTACACTGTATTATACTGTTTTGAAATGAGAGATGATCCAAGTTGAACTGTTAATATTGTAACTTTTACCTAAACATTGATATTAATGAATTAAAAAGTGACAATAAGTGAGCCACTAACCAAATAACAGAAAATGTGAAGTTGGTGATACAAGAGGTAGGGAGTACTTTGCCAGTTGTAACGTGCTACTTGCCAAGAGTTGGGATGCATGTGGTGTTGCACTGGGTGCTCACAACTGCATGTGCTCTAATCATAATGAAATTACAGTGCAGATAAAAAAAAAACACAAACTTGGCAGTAGAACACATGGATTTTGGGTCCAGACCTGCCTTCTACAAGGCAGGGAAACTATGCGAAAGTGGTTAAAGCCAAAGCAGTACAGAGGTAAAGACAGGCCAGCATACATGAAGATAAACACCCCACAGAAGCCACTGTGCTACCCCTAGAGACTATAACAGGGAAGCAGTATGCCTGCCAATTAGGAACTGTGAGATGGAGCTAGACAGGAAGCATGGAAATGCTTAGAGGGTTTGACTGTTAGAACTGCACTGTGTAGAGCCCGTCACCCGTGTAGGATGTCGAGAAGACCCAACAAAAATAGGGACCAATATCAAAACTGAAGGGTGAATCAACCCCTTAAACTCTGAGCTACATAAAGAACCCAAACTACAGGATTCTCTAATAAAAGATAGCCCAAGACTTCCACTAGACAGCAAAGGAGGTCCTAAAAAATGTGCTTCAGAGCTCTATCATTAACAAATGCACGTGACTCCCTCAGAAGAGACCAGTAGCTATTTCTGGCACAGGGCACATACAGTGGCAAGACCAAACCTGCACCTTGTAAGAAGTGGAGGAGACACAAGGGGGCAACAAATGAGGTAAAGCGTGTCACCTTGGATATTGGTATCCTTGGTGATATTTAGCGCCGTCTATTCCGCACATTTCATGATGCTACATAGCTTTCCTGGTTTGGTGCCTTCTCTTGATAATTACATACTTGTCACCTTGGAAGAATATTTTTTCCTGTCTGAAATCCGTACAAAAGTGAGCAAATCAGAGGTCCAATCGGTCTGTTCAGTACTTTTGTTGCACACCATGGGTGTACTTGTTACCAAGTTAAGGAACCACACTATGGAGCTTATAAGATTAAAAAAAAAATTGAGAATAGCGTGAGTAAACAGTTTAGGACTCTTACTTGAAGAAAGGTGCATTCAAGCTACATGAAGAGGCCAGTGCACAGAAGTACATTGGCAGGGAGCTAAGCCTTGCCTGCCATTCTTATTGCATACATAAAACGAACCATAACTGCCCCATAAGGAACAACGGTAGCCAAACCTAGAGTCAAACCCTGTTGCAAGAGTATGATATTGGCATTTGCCAAACCAGGTTACCACAAAAAATGGGAGATGATAAAGGCAACTGAGCACTGAAAAACAATAAAAATAAACAAATAAAATAGCCTAAAGTCAAACCTGGAAGGAAAGAAACTGCATTGAACTGTTGAAGAATGTGAGCAGCCACCCAAGTGTGACTAATCAATGCCCATCATAAAATTGGGATCCCAGTGCCATGGCCCTGTCTTGACATAGTGCCATGGAGGTCACAGTAGCTCAACCACACAGTTATGCCAAATATCGTCACGGAACCAATCTGCTCTTGACAGTCGGCACCAAAGAAAATAACCCTGGAACAAGACTGAAGTTTAATGGGAATAATCAGGCAATCAGGCATTAATTGCTCTCTGCAGAATAGGCTAACAAAAGGGGGGCAACCTCCAGGCTAAAAGTGAGGACTGCCTTTGACTGTTGTGTGTCCAGTGTTGCCAGTCCAGTGGCAGTTGGTACACTGTAGTAGCTAGTTACTAAGTGGTAGGCTTCCATTTTTTTTTGAGGGGTGGGTTCTTGATTGAATTGTTTAGTGACTCGTACGAAGTGTGCACTCGATAGAGAATTGATAATTTCTTTCCCTTTCCCTAGTTACATGGCAAGACCATTGGCAAAGGTCCTTGTCACAGTAGAGAGGAAGTCATCTTAAATCTAGCAAGTGAATTTGGTAGAACCATTTGACTTGGTCAAACCAAGGGGGCAACCTTGCTGCATCCAAGGGATCCAAGCCTAGATTTTTTTTAAGCTCTAAATCTCATGCTGACAATTGACCACAGAAATGTAACTATATAGTAAAAGGATAATTTGGATGAAAATGGAAAAATAATTGGATGCTTCTGGAGATCATTTAAAATGTCTGCATTGCTCACGTTTTTCATTCTGCATGGCTATTGTTTCATACATGAACAAATCGAGTACAATACTTGTAGTTCTAAATGATGCTTTTAATTTGATACCCCAGTTTCATCATGCTTCAGATTAATTGTACCAGTTACTGTAAGCATTTGTGCATATCATGGTCTGAAATACTTGAATGAAATTTTAAATTAAATATTTCTTATAGTGCATGTTAATTTATCCAGAATAATTTTTGGTGTTAATTCAGTATTAATGTTCATGCAAAAGTCGATAGGATCAGATCATGGTGGTAGTCATAGTAATTTATTATTGGAATGGAGTATGCCCAGTTTGTGTTAATGCAAGCTATTTGTACCATTAAGTTGCAAATTACCCAGTAGTCTCATTTAAAATGTCTAATTTAGATTCGAAAGTCTTGAAGATGTTCAGTTATTCATGTTTCAATGAGTATAGTGGGGATCTACAGATGTGACATTAAGTAACCTTCTCTTCATGGGAAAGGTAGCTAAAACAGCATCAATCTGGGGCCACTAGTTACTGCATTTTTATGGGGAATTTAGCTTTGTGCTGGACCTTGTCCAATTCAGAATGTCTAATGCAGTATGACGTTAATTTGTGTGGTTTCTTTCCCAGCTACATAAAGGATGACTTAAGCACTTGGTTATACAGTAATTAAAAAAAAAATGCATGTTCCAGCAAAAAGTTTCAGTGTGGCAGGTACTTGGAGTACTAAAGCACTGATTATAGTAAAATAAATTGTATAATAACTTTAAATTTCTTTTAATAGTGTTCGAAAGTTGGCTAGTAATTAAACTGATCTTGTTCATTTTATAGTTGCATTTTGTTTTAATGCAGGTATTGTATACAGAAAAATCTATGCCAAAGTATGTCTACTTTCTAAAACAGGACCCTAAACAAATATGCTGTTACTTGTATTGTTGATAATAGTACTTTTTTTGCAGGTAAGGCAGAAGTTTTTGAATGGAGTTTGACTATGTATGGAACAGAAACGGAACCAGGGCAGGCAGTTACCCCACAAGGGGGAGAACTTCCCGCAGTCTCTCCCATCGATCCTACTCCACCCCAAGTAGTCGACCCCACTGAAGGCAATACTTCGACACGTGACCCAGGCACAAAAAGGCCTCCTGGTCTTCCTTCATCTGCATCGCCAACACCTGCACCTCTGTTGCTGAAGTTGGGCTCTGCTCAGAGAGCTCTTCCGCCCGGCTGCAGCCGTGTGGATACTTCTGGGGCCTGCTTAGGTTTGTGCTCTGTAGTGGTGGTGGTTCACTTGGTGGTGGGTGGTGTCCTGCTAGGTCGACCTGCCTTGAGGAAAGTAGAGCAAGACGAGACGTGTGTTGGAAATGATTGTGAAACAGTTGGTTACACTATAAACACGGGAACGTTAGCTAATGATCTTCAGTATGATAGTATATGTGATAGGGATATGAATAATGGTGACTCTTGGCTCATATTAAGTAGTCAGACACTGCTACTTTGGTACAGTTAGTATCAAGGTTTTTAGCTAATTAAATTATTTGTACTTAAATATAAATGGTTTTATCTTAAGAATGGAACATACCAATGGTATTTATTTAAGATTTTAAAAGGTCTAATTGGGAAACAAAAAAACAATACTGAGACTAAAAAAAAAGTCAACAAGTGATTTAATATAAAATTGGATGCCATTCTTAAAATCAGTTTCCGGGTTTTTATGGCAAGATCAAACCCCTCCATCACTTTCTTGTATAGACTTGAAACTGTACAGACTTCTAATCTTTCCTTTATTTTTTTTTATATAGAGTGCCTTTGGCATTTTATACTTATTTTTACTCTACAAACTTTGGATATATCTTAATGCTGTCTATGTAGTGCTAGAGCCAGAACTGTCCTGAATGTGAAATGTAAAATATTTAAATTGAAGTCACTGGGAGACAGGATATAGTGAGATTATAATACTTTGGATTCCTACTAATTTGGGCCAAACATTTCAAAGTACTGTACCAGTTTTATGTAAAGATTTTTAATCATTAACACTCGAAAATGCTGCTTTACTTAGTTGCTATAATTCAAAAATCTGTGTATAGAGTTTATGAAATGTATTTTAAGAGAATTTGATTTTTTAAGCAATTTGCAAGTTTGGTCGAAGTTTGGTAAGGAAGCAGTTGACTAGTGCTCTTGTCTTCCATGGGGGAGAATGAAGATGGTGGCTGATGTCTGGTTAACATAGTGTTGGGCCAGACTGAAACACTAAAAGTATTATTAAGGAATGTGTGTGTTGAATGTGCTTAATGCCTTCAATTGTGTAGTGTTGGCATTTCTGTGGACCATCTCAGGAAGTAGGTGGTAGCCTAATAGAATGGAAAAGTAGTTTGTTTTATTGTATTTTATAAATCTGCTATAATTTGGATGCCTCCTATGAGGAAATTAATTTAAATCTCTTGAAACAGAATTTTCTTGTAAATTACTGCCCATATTGGTCTTGAGATTTGGATAAAGGTATGCTTCTCTACATTATTCCCATATAAGGCATCTGATTTGTAGGCTTACTGTATTTGTTTTTTTATTGATAATTAAATACGAATTGGATAAGAGTCGAAGTCTCTTTGGGGGACCTCGTCTGCATTCCAGGGTATGAAGTGTTGCTGTGTAATACTCACATAACGACTGTTTTGGTGGCTTCACTTTCCACCTCATGGTTGCCAATCAAAGCCTCTTTGAAACATAAGGTGTTCAACCTTAGGTTTCATATAATTTACAGTACAGTAATAGTTACCTGGGCATGAGAGGACCTGATAATGAGTTTTTATACCTCACATGTAGCCAAAGATAATCCTTGTTTCCTTGTTTTATCTGTTTTATCATGTTACATCATATATGTTGGGTAATAATCCCTAATTTTGTTTGAAGTTAATGAATGATTTAAGGGGGGGAAAGGGGTCGGGATAATGTGTGTGTGTGTTTTTGTACTGTATATATGTATGTGTGTAGAAGTGTGTGGGCGTGTGTGTTGTTTTGTGGTGGCACAGGTAAATTAATTTGCAAGTGATATTTTTAGGTAATCAAATCTTTCTATTGCAGAAGTGGCTTAAAGTATTATTGGTATAGGTAACACTTGCATTTTTGACATGATTGTAAATATTATGAAAGGTTGTTTATAGTTTACATGTATTCTTTCAAGAAAGGGTGCTTGTTGGGTGTTGTGTAGTAAAATACCTTTTATATGAAAATGCTGTAAGGTAGACTGTGTTGATGAATGTATTACTAAGACTGACAAGTGTCAAGTTGAAGCCTTCTTGGCAATTAGGAAGGGCAGAAGTTCATCTTTTGCCTAAAAAAAATTAAATTCATAAAATACAAAAATAAATGCTGAAAGTCGAGATTTAAGTAGGTGTGGATATGGTGTTACCTTACTACTATTAAATTAGAACATTGCTTGTACACTGAGCTACATCTATTTTTAGGGAAGTTCTCACTTCTGAGTGTATGCAAAAGTAGCCCATAGATGTATGTATAGGAGTTCAGGCTGTAGAATGCAACATGGTGCAAAAGGTACTATTGCTCTGTACAAGACAATTTTATACACGTGTTATTTTAAAGTCTGAAAATCGAAGAAAATTCTCATAAAGCTCTTTCAGATCTTAAATATTGTGTAGCAAATACAATAGAAGTATTTAATGGAGTAACAGGCTTATGATTTAGTTATCAATTTTAAACTAGTGTTGATAGAAATAATTTACACAAATTTAACTGTGTGAAGCATATAAAAGAAGCAACTGCTATTACAAGTCATTCCAGATTTCCTTTATGATATGACTGAAGTACAGGCAAACACTGTCTATTGTTTGGCCAAATGTTTAATTAAGTGGTTAGTTCGCTGTTGGTTCACACAACTGCAATAATTGTTTTATACTCAGTCTTGGTATTGCAATAACTTTTACATGGCCGGAAGAAAATGAAAGGATAGATATATAGAGGATTTGTTTACAGATATGGCTGGATGGAGTTTTTGGATGGATATGGTTGGATGTATGTGGCTTTTATGGTTCTTTTCACACATGGAGTTTGTGTGACTGGATGGGGAAGAGGAGAGGGATTGTGATGAGTACCTACTTGTAGTTAAAGGATGAGTTCTATCATGTGGAGTTGCATCTTTTTTTATTGTATCATGTACAACTTTGAAACTTCCATTGATTTTTTGTTTTTGTTTACTTCTGTAAAAATATTCATCCTAACCATCTTCAATTGTTAAAAAAACACATTTTACTACTGTTGGCATTTTTCTCTCTAATTTGTCTGTGGCTTTTGTTGTTCTTTATCAGACACATTATAGTTTTTATTCAGCTTTGGGCATATAGTAAACCTTTTATATTTTCATGCAGCTTGTATTTCAGTGCTCTTGAATCCATATGATTGTCTTTGGGCTTTTCTATTTGGCCCATACAACATGTATAGTAAATGTCATATTCCACAAGTGTGTGTTCCCGTTTTGGCTTGACATATAAAGTATTCCTCTAGCATATGCTTAAAATATATCATGAAATTTACCATACACTGTTTACATGGGGCACACTCCAGTACTTGTGCATTTTTAGTGATGAAGCATCACTTCTAGGTACTATACTTTCCTTTATCCGTTTTCCTTAGCTCTGTCACTCCCTGTTTTTCATTAGCGTATATTGAATTTTTTTTGTATTTACTTCCATCAACCATTAGTTTGCTCTATTCACTTTATTCGTCAGCACATTTCATTTGGTTCCTATGAGAACATTTGTAAATACTTTTTTGTGTAATAATAACACAAAGGTTCCTATTGACTTTAAGCAGTGTAGCCCTCCACCCCCCACCCCCCTATTAGCTATTTTGAGCACAAATATAAATATGGAGTGATTTTGAGATGTAGTGACAACTAATAAACAGAACTGTTCCAAACTTTCAAGGCATGCCCTGATGCCATGGCATAGTCCCAGTCATTGTAGTATGAAAAGTTTGATTTGCATATCCAGAAATTTTAATTTTTTAACTCTACAACCTCCTTGTTTATAATTGTTTGCATTTGTGTAAAAATTTTGATTTATTTCTACTGGGTTGGTTAGTTCCTTTCTGCAAGTGTAGTTCCCATTTGGACTAATTCCTGTCTGGATGGTGGAATTTGTTTGTTGATCAAGTTTGCTGCTTGTGGTAGTTTCAGTGAAAGTGAATGTAGGCAAAATTACTGTAGTTAGGAAATGGAATTGTCAAATGAATTTGGGGATAGTGGTTGAAGTGCTCAATGAGTTTAACCCTTATAATGCAGTTGTTATATATTGATCCTTCCTGGGTAATACTGTAGATTTTGGTTATTCTGTTTTTATTAAAAAATTTTAATTTGGTTATAATGCATCTAAATGCATGTAATGGAAGCTAAGAAAAAAGAAAAACTCATGAAAAACACTTACTTTTTTAATTGCTTACTATGCGATTATGATAGTGTATTAGTAACTATGTGATTGTCAAATCACAGTATGGTGTTGGCCGCCAGTGTTTGAATTTTTTGGACTAGATTACCAGACAGAATAACGGCAAAGAAGTAGGGTGCAAGACACAATTTAAACTGTGCCAAGAACAGATTTATGTGCATTATAGGTGTTGATATTGTTGGCTCGTATATCACCACAGCCTTCTTCACTACATTACTGCTTAGCAAAATTTCTTCTAGCCCACAGCCCTAATGACCCCTTTTCTTCTTTACATGGGCAGTGACATCTTTTATGATGGTTGCATTTATAGGCGTTTAATATGTGCAATTGCTAAAAAATAGTATTTGTGCAATTAAAGTACTGTAGTTTGTATACAAAAATGCAATATAAGCACTGGTTAAGAAAAACTATATGGTAATTTATGCAGCCAGAGATCTGTATAATACATATAATACGGCGCCACTCCCAAATCATGCATTGTACAATTGCGAGAGGATGGTGCGGTATGAATGTAAAACAAGAATTAGAGCTGTTGAAATATAAATTCTGAGAAGTGTGTGGTAGTTGAAAAGTAGAGTAAGGAATGGAAAATGTCGGATGTGGCATGCCAACATGAATACACAACAAAGCTAAGAGGAGTAGAAGAGATTGGTTATATTGAGTTAATTAATTGGTGGGAGAATGGAGTGTTTGTGAAATTGAGAGTAGGAAAGGAAAGGTGGAAAGGTGATGGGCACACATGATGAGTTAGTGTGTGAGGAATCCTGGTCAAGAGTAGACAACATAGGATATGACAACTTACC